GGGTTGTTTCATGACATGAGAGATCACAATTTGATCTGCTTTTTGAAAAGACTACAAGAAGACACAAATGGAAACTACACTGAAGGAGCAATTGTTAATATATTTACCAAACTTTCCAAACTTTGTTCCTTCGGAGGCATAGAAAATTAAATTTATTTAATTAAAATTAATGTTATTTTTATTGCAGAGGGAGCTGCCCTTACTGTATCAGTTACAGCAGAATGTAACATTGGAAATGGATGTATATCAAAACAGAACTAAGACAGCTAGAAATAAGAGTATTTAGAAAATAATGTGATCTACAAGACAAAAAATAATTGTGGTTTTTATCTATAAATTTATAAAAAAATTAGAAACAATACTGTAATTTTAGTCGCAACCATCCAACCTCCTAATGCAGGAGAACCTGTTCCCTGGAGACCCGTGGCCTTGAAGCTCCGTGGTCTGCAGGCTGAGCCAAAAAGCAAAGGTGGTTCCCCAGTGCCGTCCTGTGTTGAAAATACAGAACTACACGGGCGGAGCCCTTGACGTCAGATCATGGTCCAGGAAACAGCGTGTGCTCGGGTAACGAGCAGAGCAGCAGCAAAACAGCAGCAAAACAAGAGCAAAACAACCTCTGTCGCTGCTGCACATGCACTGTGAAGTGTGGGTTTGTGTTTTTAATCACAGGTCCGTCACTAAGACATGCACTGCGAAAGACTGGCATCGCTCTGCTGAATAACGAAAAGAGACATCGATCATACGGTAAAATAATATTTACATGCAATCCCAGTAAACAAGGTAAAATGGCCATAGGTTTAGCTAAACAATAAAAAAAAAAATAAAAAAAGAACCCAACAAGTAATATTTGGCAGCAAATCGTTCAGGTAGTATTTGTCATCACTAATTTATTACTCAAAAAGAAGAGTATGTAAATGCTGTATTTGATGTACCCAGTAGCAATTGCAGTGCCAGATATGCTTGTGTAGATAAGGATTTTGGCCAGCAACAGTTTGCATACATACAAATAGCAGGTTAGTGATAGCTGATTCAGGGCAGGCCAGAATCTCACCTTAAGCTGTAATGCATCTATACATTTCCTGTTCAAAACTTGTACTGTAACAAGAAACTAAAATTGTGTACATTCATAGTAATGTTGAGAAAAGATATCTAAATTTTTCATAATCTCTGCATAATTGTTGTTCGTATTCCTGCTTATAGTCAGAATTATAAATATAGTTCACTACCTTAATTAACACCTCTAATATGATGCACCTGGTATGTCTGTACTAGGAGAGTATTTCCCCATGGTTTTCACCGTGGAAACATGTTCTGACTGCCTGTGATCAGTCTGTTAGGGCAAGAGAGGTGCAAATACGTAAACATGTATGGTGTACATACAGCAGGAGCCTTGTAAGCACTTCCCCTGTCAAAGTTGTAAAGCAGTTTCCCTGAGCATGACAAGAAGGAAATCTTTTCTCTAGCCAGTCATATAAAACTATCATTATTTGCCACTGAGCTGAGTAAAGAATACAATTTTTTAATATCTTTAGAATACTGATTGACAACAATGTACACAGCACAGATTATTTCAAACTTCACAGTGCAAAGTACACATCTTTTATTACGTTCTGGAACTGATCCCAGAGTAGCTCTTCACAAAGTTACTTTCTCTGTGGTAAAGCAGCACTGAGTGTTCTCACACTTGCTGTCACAAAGTGTTTGCAAGACCACAGAAGTGTCTGGTGTGTGTCTTTTCCTACACTGCACTTTCCTTTGCAGTAACTGCAGAGCAGAGATATTAACAGCTGCTTTGCACCTCCATGAAATCCCATTTATATAGGAGAGAAAGCAACATTTAGGTCAGCTGTGAAATAACCCATAGTTTTCTGATCAAGGCAAAGTGTGTCATTTTCACACCACTGAATTGAGCTTTCTGTAAAACATTTGCACAAATCCTGCAAATACTACCTTGATTCAAGGCTGAAGAACTCAGGGGTTCGGACTAGTAACTTCCTCCCCTCAGCATTAGCAGGAATCAAGGTTGTAACATCAGTCCCAGCGTCTCAGCAGACACATGACACTGGGGAATCATTACTGCACAGTCACTTGCTAGACAAACATCCAGGGGATCCTCCCGAAGACAAAATTTAAAGAGGATTTTTGAAGTCTTTTTGGCACAGCTGTTGATGTAAGTTATGTGTTACGGGTTTGCCATGCCTGTAAATCCTTACAGGGATGCTCTTGGCTGCATGGAGGCTGCACTTTGTGCAGAGGCTCTGACCCAAAGACTCTCAGAACCTTGAAGTGAAATTCTGATTCTCAGAATAAATATGCAATTATAATTTATAAATATAAATTCTAATTTACATTTGGTGGTGCAAACACAGCTGTTTGAAAATGCTCAGTGATGGTGTAAATTACAGAGCATCCACCAGAGGGAAGCTCGTGCATGCATTCAAAGTGAAATAAATAATTTGAAGGATGAGTGAAACACACACCTGATATTTTAGCCAAAGCAAATTCTATTCAAAGTGGTTTGTAGCAGTAGCACAGACTTCTTGAGCTTGGAAATTTTTCAGAAGTTATTTGCCAATCTAAAGGTAACAGACTTACAGGAAGTTTCCTGTGTTGATGACCAAGTTGTTGCACTACATTTAATATTCATGCTCACAAAAAACTTCAGGTTGTTTTTTTTTCAAGCACACAGATGCAGCCTAATTTCACTCCTGTTGATGAATTAGACCAGAGCTTCTTGGTCTGAAGTCCAGATTCATGGTTCCTTTTGTGACCACTCACCTTTGGTCACCAGAGTAAGATCCTGGGTTGTTCAGCCACTGTTGTGTTTTGTGTGTGATTGAATATATTGTGTTGCTCCCCCTATTAATGGAAACATTTGCTAAATTTTCCATAAAGTTTGTGTACTACTAATGTAAATTTGATGACAGTCAGACACTTTTAGAGAACATTGAAGACTGCTGACAGTCTGCAGTTTTTATAGTGAGCCAGGAGTCACATAGAGCTCTTCAGAAACATGCTCCTAGCTAACATTAACTCTAATGTCTGTGATATTTAGTCTAATAGCCTGTCTTCAGAATCTTATTCAAGCAAATCTTAGTATTTCAATACTTCTCTGGGATCTTTTTAGAAACAGAAATCCCAGTTCAGAGATTCATTTCTTTTCTTGTTCAAATGAAAGACACAGCCAGAGGCTGAGGCCATCTGGCAAGCAAACTTCAACTGAAGTGGAGAAACATGTTTCTGAAAACTGTAAGGACAGATGCTTTGGAAGTTCAACCACACTCCACTGGATTAGAACTATACTAATACCAGTGGTTGTACAGACAGCTGCTCTTTTCCAACAAAAGATGGACTTTACTTAAAGAACCTGCCAGTCCCCGTAGCACTGTGTGACAAAAAGTACTAGGCATCTCTTATTTTTTTTCCCAATAAAAATCTGCATCTTAGTTTAATCTAGATAACCCACTGGCAATAAATTAAGAAATAGCCCTTATGAAGTTACTTCTGGAGAAATAATGTGTATAAAGGTGATTTCATTAGAAGAAGCAACATTGCCCAGAACTTCCTCCCATTTTCCCAAGTGGTTTTCAGAAATTCCCTTTAGAATACAAACAACTTGGCTGGGATTTTCCCCTACCCAATCTTTATTAAATGTAGTTAAAAATGAAAGGAACTGGAATCATGTATCAGATTAAATCCAAATTAAAATTTATTACACAAATAGTATTTTGAAGATATAATACTTCAGTGGAGTTATTCTGGATTTGCTTCTGATCTCATTATACTCTTACGAGATCGAAACCAGCTAAGCTGATTTGGGGGTGATGATGTTGCAATCCTTTTTCCATGGTGAAAAATACTTTTCAACTTGATATTATGCACTACATTTGCCAGGTTTGTAAAATTAGGGAAATAATCTGTATCACATTCTTAAATTTAGAAAACCTATGCATAACTCCTTTGTTTCTGTGAATCTTTTTTCATGGTAAATACCCTTCCAGTTTCACTTCTGTGACTCTTGAACATTTCTCTTGTGCTGCTGTTTTAGTTCCTCCTTTAACATTTTAGAATTTAACTTCAAAGAAGATATTTTGAGATCAGGATAACAAAATAGTTTCATATTCTTTGGCCAGACTCTGAAGAGTTTAGGATACATTCAGGAGGACAACATAGTCATATATTTTCTCTCTGACATGGAGCATTTCCTCCTGTAAGCCTGTATCCAGACTGGATATCCTCATGGTTATTGTTTGGCTAAAGAATGGCAGTTTCCCAGAGAATTCGAAATACAGGTCCAACCCACTTTATTGTGCCAAGTCAGTCTCACTGTCATTGTTGGGACAGACTACAACATGTAATATTCAGCAAGAAAGTTTATTGGAAAGAATAAGGAAACAGCAGCAGCCCCGAGCTGCAATTTACAGCCTCTTAAATACAGCTCTTTTGGTACATGTGTATCACACAGATAGGTCAATTTAAACACACAAACCACAATTCTTACAGCCTATAGGTGGATTTTAGTTGGACCTTCTCAGTTCTACTTTCTCACAACATTTCTGTGCACCTGTCCCTGTTTTCCTTTTATATTTATATTTTTCTCAGTCACTCTGTTCAAACAAGTCCTCGTTCTCATGAGACAGTGTTCCCTGTTCCCACGGGACAGCTCTCTCCTGCTGCTCCTCTGCTCTCTCAGGATGCAGCAGTACGTTGTCAGGACCAGGGCCTCCATTCTCAGCCTCCCTCTCACCCCATCTCAGGGGCTCGGTCCAGCCAAAATTCCCCACATCTCACTATAGGGCAAATGTTGATTTCCTCTATGCCAGTGTATTTCTAAATGGTGGTTGACTGTTTTCTGCTGAATTAAAAGAGGTGACAGGAAGACAGTAAGCACAAGTTTTTATGCTTTGAAACAGAAATTCCTGTCAAACATATAATGCACATTTGTAGTTTATCTGCCACCCCTTTTATTTTTTTTTGTTTCTATAAAATAAAATGTTAACTCATGTGAGCAAGCTCACAGCTGTTGATTAGATCAGTAACTTCAACAAAGTAGTGAGTTTCTTTAAATAAGGACAGCTTAGAAAGACCACCAACAGGCTTCAAAATCTGCTAAAGCATGATGGATGTAAAACTGAAAGCAAAGTCAGATGCTGCACTGTATTTTTATTTTTGCTTTGTGTGCAAAAATGCACATCTTCCTAAACAACAGGAACTGCCCTGTGTGGTCAGATGTCTGTAAGAGCGAGCATTAGGGCAGGAGATCATAGGCCACACTACCCTACAGAACAGCACTTAGAGAACTTGCTCTCCAGTAGCTCACTAACACCTTCAGAATAAAAGCAGGGCCCAGAGCAACCAAGAACTGAAGAATTTCCAGAATGAGTCAAGCTGAGGAAAGCAGTATCCACTCAACATGGAATATTGTGAGGTCAGTAGTCTGCATAATACTGAGCTTGTCATTTATTATTGGGACCCCTGGAAACTGCATCGTCATCTGGACTGTTTGTAGAAAAATGAAGCAAGTGTCTCTTTCAGTGCTGCTGATCTTGAACCTGGCCATTGCTGATGTCCTCGTGCTGATCACTTTACCAATCTGGATTTACTCCTTTGCTGACTCATGGGTTTTTGGAGTCATCTTCTGCAAAATACTGGTTTTCATTATTTACTGCAGCATGTATGCAAGTATATTTCTAATTACAGCACTGAGCTTGGAGAGATTAGTGGCTGTGTTTTACCCTTTCACAATTCAAAGATACAAAAGAAAAGAAAAGATTTCTTTAATCATGTTCCTCATTTGGTTCCTGTCTATTACTTTTGGCATTTCTGTCATTCCCTTTCAAGAGACAGAAGAAATGAACGGTCAGCTGCTCTGCACGTGTCGCAGCTACTCTTCTAACAGACAGAAGGTGTCATATCTTTTGCTGGAGACTCTTGCAGGTTTTGTAATCCCTTTTTTAATTATTTGCACTTGTTATGTGTGTGTAGGCAGAAGGATAAGCAGAATGACTTACCAGTCTAAGCAGCGATCAGGCCGGCTCATTGCCAGCATTGTGGTGGCATTCATTGTGTGCTGGTTCCCTCACCACGTGTTCAACATCCTAGATATTATTTCCATTGAAATAGAACTCTCTCATGAGGAAATGTCTTTGGCACTGGATGAAATTGTAGACAAAGGAGTGTACATCTCTGGAGCACTTGTATTCATCAGTAGCTGTATTAACCCTCTGCTTTATGCTTTTGCTGCGCGAAGATTTCAGAATCACCTGAGATTTGCCAAGATGTCAAAGCTGTTTGAGCAGATGAGTCAGACTGTGACAGAGGAAGACAAGAAAAGAAGTTTGGTTGTAAACAAACAAGAAGATGCTTTAGTAGGCACAGAAAATCTCTAACAAGGATCTCAGTGATTAATCTGTGTCGTTTCTTCAGTAGTCCTTTCTCCTCATACTCTACTTTCATTTATTAAGCAGTCCAGGGAAAGCTAGAGACAGATAAAAGCTTTTTGGTTTGTTTTTTTTCTTGTGTGCTTTATAAGACTTGGCACTGACAACCTAGTTCAGTTCATAAGTTAATATCCACATCATGAAATGGGCATTATTTCACTGTTGCTGAGAACCTCAGCAAGGTGGATAGAAGCTCAAATTGTAAGGAATACAGCATTTTTACTTTCCATTATATTATTTCTGATTTCTAGGAAGTCTGTGAGCAGAAAATAACTCCTCGTGGAAAGGAAAGGCTTTGAAAATTTAAACCCAAGTTTTTCTTCAGAAAAAATCATTAGATGGTCAAAAATCCTTATATAATCTAAAGTTTTAAGAGTCCATAGTTAAATTCTTGATATGGGTAAGAAGTTTTAAAGTACAATAATGACATACTCTTCTGGGCAGATGGAAAATCTAAAGCTATTTTTATTCATTATTTAGGTTTGAAAATAATAATTGTTGTTTACACAGTCAAGCTCCTTTACTGCATTACTTCGTGGTAATAGGTTTGAAAAAGTCAGATGTGAAGTGTGATACGTCTCCAGAAAAAACAGGAGGTATGAGAACTCTGTGTTGTGTGACAAATATCATTACAGACTGCATGCTATATTTGATGTCAAACACATTGCATACTTCAGAGGCAATTCAACTATTGATGTATTAAATATATGTACTCTGAGTATGCTCCAAATTTTTGATTCAGTTAAGCTTCCAAGATGTCTATTAAATTATGGAGGAATTGGATCAGGCTTAGGTGAGAAGGAAGGAGAGATCCTTGATACTGTTTGTAATGTGTAAGAAAATATGGTAGCAGTACAAAGTATTTAATGTCAGAAGAACTTCACCTTGCAAATAAAAGTGTTACTTTTTCTTCTCTTGTAGAACAGAGTGGACTTCACCATGAGAAACCCATAAATTTAGTACTTGCAAGGGCTTTGGTTTTGTTAATGTGTGCAAACTCACTGTGAAATACTGCACGTTATCAAGTGTTTGCTTTTGAAGTTTTATTTATTTCAATTGTGCCTAACATTTTTATGCTTACTTTCCTTAAGTTTTAAGTCAATAATTTGTAATAAGATCAAGATAACTACTGATTAAGAAACATATTGTAATTTCCTGTTTCTTGTTCTGGGCAGCTGCTAAATAGTTATGTTACTCATTCTTACAAAGAAATTACAAATACTAACTAGAACTTAATTTTCCAAGTCTGATTATATCACAACCAAGTATATTTAAGTTGTACTAATTTAACTTGTAGACTAAAATAAACATGGGGAAGTAAAATCCTTAGCTAATGGGAAAATATTTCTCTAAACTTTGCATATGTGTTATTCCTGCTTGTTATCAAAAAGTCATTATTTCTTCTCAATAAGAGAAAGGTCCACAGCAGAGAGGGCTTTCCTTCAATAGGATTCCTTCACTGAAATTAAAGAAAACTTTAAGAAGACCTTGTTTGCAGCAAAGAGTAAGAAACAGATGAAACCCTTCAGACTTTACCCCATCCACCTCCAACTCTTTTTTCATCCCACTAATGCCTCTTTAATTGTTATTAGTACATTCAGTATAACAACATGGCATTATCTCACAAAGAAAGCAGTAACTTTAGTTCTCTACCCCATAAAAAATGAAGCTGTATTTCCCACTGTGTTCCTGAGGTAGGAGTCACTTGCTATTGAAGACCCCAGCACAGATGAGACTGTGCCATGGGCAGTGAGCACTGCAGTGCACTGCAGCCTGGGCCAGGAGGAGCCAAGGATTGCACACCTCACAGGGGGAAAGACCCAGACAAACCTCAGTACAGGCTACCTGACCAGAATTTTCCTTCCTGTCAGTCTGTGCCCTGTACCTAGCATGCATTTTCTGCCTCAGTATTCAGTTCACACACTTTCTCCACTGCTTTTAACTCATAACTGTGCTATTAAAGTAAAATGGGATCCGTCCAAGGAGCTACAGCTGTCTCTTATGTTCTCATTACTGGCCTTGGACAGCTGCCTCCAGTAGTCAGTCATCTTTAAGAACTATGTTTCTTTTGAAGGCTGTTTGAGATGTAGTAAAAGGTGCTAAAACAGCAACCTTATTTCACTTTTGTACAGAGCAAATAGAGTTAATTCTTGCAAATGTTGGTATGCACAGATAAAAGCCCCACCAACTTAATATTTTTGTTGCCACAACTGTCATGTAACTGGGCCCATAAGAGTCCATGTCAGCAGGTGGTGACAGTTCACTGCTGCCTCCTTTAGCAGGTGAACACCAATGGACCAGGTCTGCTGCTCCAGCTGTGCCAATGTGCTCTGGCACCAGGCAACAGGGACTGCAGTAGGTCCATTCAGCCAGTGGACCTTCTCCTCTCCTAAAGTACTGAATCCCAGCCAAACCTAAGGTGTAGCATAGATTGGGTCCAAAATGCTGCACCTGATAACGATATTCATGCTTCTTGTTGGCTGCCTTACAAATCCATTCGACAGATTATATTGGAAGAGTGGTAGAAAACAAAGATTTTCCTTGATTGTTCAACCTAGATCAAAATAGTGACTATCAAAATAGAAGGTGAGATCAGTCTTGCTAGTAACTCTTGAGACACTTACTCTCCTGGAAAAAATGAGGTTTCATGTCATTCGAGTTCCTCTTATTTTTCGTACTTCCTGACTCTGCCATCCTCGGTTCTGAGGTCTGTCTGTGTGCTGGCAGTGTCCAGCTATTGCTCCTGACACAGCAGGGACGAGGGCTGAGCTGAGAGGAGGCCACTTCAGTCACCTGAGTCAAATCACCTCAGGTTACACTGAAATACAGGGAACATGATGGAATCAATGCAACACTGCTTAGGACACTGAGTACTAGGAGGTGACCAGATAGTTTAAATCTGTAAAAATTAATCATCTTCTAACATTTATCTCCTAACATTAAAGTCTTACCCAGTCTGAAACTTGCTGTGAACATTCCCTGGGTTTTCACTGGGAATTTATCATGTTTACCATAGTAGGATCATGCTGCTTAAAGTGAATTCATGCTGTATTAACAGGATTGAAGGAAAACCTGAAGAATTTTTAGTTCATAAATAGCCAATATACAAGAAGGATAAAAAAGATCATAAAGAAAAAGCATCAGCATTACACCTTTGCTGCCTGCTGACATCAAAGCATTTCTGTAAGCATCATGGTAAAAGAGTTATATCAGATGTCTGGGTTAAAACAATGGAGCTTTGTGTATATTTAGAGGCAACTGATAATTTAAGAAGTAGCACGAGGAATATGAGAGGTCCTTATTTGCAGGCAGAAACAGGGAAGCTGCATTATACTAAAGAAATCTTTTTTTTTCTTTAACAAAACCATGAGAACATTTTCTAGGAAGAAGTAGAGCACAGTTAAGAGCCATTTTAAAGACAGTTAAGGCTGTGGTTGTGAAACTCTTAGGCTTACTATTAACAGGACTAAAAGAAAGATTTGCCTGCAGTACTTGTGTGAAAGGAATAATAGAACCTGAAAGCTAACAGGTGGCACAGAAACAACATAGGAATGCAAATTCTTTCACGTTCAAGCAAGAGTCTGGTACAGAATAAATATTTTAGAAGATGCAGAATTAACAAGTATTAACAGTGGTGAAGATTTTCTCTACAGGTTATTCTACAACTCTTGTATTACTCTCTTTTCTGCATGTATTGGGAAAGGGGAAGAGGAAGGAAAAGTTGTTGGCTCTTTTTTGAGTAGAAAAGCATGAGAAATAAGTCAGTTAAGATTATTAAGAACCATATGGACTTAGAACAAAAGTGAGAAGTTCAGCTATGAAAGCTGAGTATACAAAGAGAACAGACAGGGAAGTGAAAGCTACTCTGTTGCAACACAGTTTCAGATTTTTGTAATGCTTTCTTGTCAGATGAGTTTATCACTAAAACAGTTCTTTATTAGAAAACTTCTCAGTGTGATCTCCACTGGTCGTTAGTAGGTTAAAGAAAAAAATCCAATTATACAGAGTTTAGAGGCAGAAGCCTGTCCTCTGAGAGGGTGAGTAGCTCGTGCTGCTGCTGTTGGCCTTGAGAGTTGGGTGTGACCAGGACTATGGCCACTGGAATTTCAGAAACTTTACAACACTGTGTACAGTCCTAAGAAAGTGCTTGCACTGATAGGTGTGGAGATAAGAGAATCAGATGCAATCTGATTCTTTCATGTGTTCTTTCCCCTTAAATCAATTATTTTAAAAGTCGTGCAGGTGGTTCTTAGTAAGGATTCAACATTTTAAACCAGATTCATTTAAATCGAAGAAAGGTTCGGGTTAGAAAAAAATTATTTTTGTGGAATGTGTCAAATGATGGAATTAACGAAAAAGATGCACCAGAATCTTCCAATACAGGTTAAAGAGTCACAGCTCTTAAGTCAGGATTTTATACCTCTGCTACGACTGCAAAATCCATTTGTTCTTCATTTAGTAGAAATCAGCTGTTTAAACTACAGCTTGATTGCAAAAATAACTGGATACACTTCAGTTTGGGCTGCAATTGTGTAGGTACTGACAGTGAGAACTGTACTGAGACATCTCAAAACATTAGTGTGTCGTGATTATGGATGTCCATAAAGTGAAGGGGATGTCCAGATGGCTTTAAATCAGAGGATTATTGGTTTAGACTGCCCCTACTAGATCTTAAAGTGAAAAAGCAGACTTTTCATTTTTGCATAGCAGATCTGTTTATGATGTGGCACATTACATAAAAAATTCAGGGCTAAATATTTCATTTTCGGAGAATTATGAATTTGAAGCACTGCTTGTGGCCTGTCATCAGCTTGGCAGTGTCACCATAAAAGCGACCATAGGAAAAGAGCTGTATGAAGATCATTTCTGGTCACTGTATCAGTGATGCTGTGGGAAGGTGTGGCAGTGACAATCTGAAAACAGGTTATAGAGTCCATATCTTAGCTGCACTACATAACTTCCAAAGTTACTGTGATATTACATTCACTGTATAATTCCCTATTGAACTTGGTCAGTAGTAGCAGAAACTTAGAAGTCATGGACACTTTGTTAAGCATTATAACTAATGAATTACGTTAATGTCCGTTACATTTAAAAATATAGCCAAGAAGCTTCAGCTGTGCTGTGGAAGGGAACGTCACTGCTGAACTGAGGGAAGCATTTAGCAGGGAGGTTTTTCCATGCCTTGCTCTCTCCTGCCACCATGTGGCTTTTCCATTTTAAAAAAGGCCTAATTGTACTACCCTCGAAGTCACTGAAACGAGTAGTGAGGTACTTTGTTCATTGTTTAAGTTGTGAACCATATTTAAGGTTCAAGTCATTGAAGCAGGAAGGTTCACAAAAAACCACAACAATATGTTAAGCATTCAAGTTCTATTCATTTCAGAGTGACCTAATCGGTCTTTTTCTTACTTTTCAGGAGCCCAAGCCCCCACTGTTTCAAGCATTGCATAAATTACATGAGCTCAGAATGTTTGACAGAATATAATTACCTCATACCAGTTTGTGAAAAGTCTATGCTGAAAATAACTTTTTTTTTCTTCCCAACAAAACCATCAATAAGCATTTTGAGCTGGACTGTGACTCTTGAACTTGAGTAGCCCACATCTCATCCCAGGTGATAGTATTGATTTATAGGCTCTTGGTAGTCTTGAGGTGTTCTCAAAAATTTTCAAAAGATCTTGACTTCTTTGAGATTAATTAGGAATGGTTCTTGCAGTGTTGAAGATGTCCGTGATAAGAAGATCATAAAAGCATTTCCTTTTGGAAAAAAAAGTAGAAGTGTTAAGAATACAGCAGAAAACAGAATCAATGAGATTGGGTTGCAAATTCCCTTCTTCTCTATAGCAATGTTTTGTTTCTGTATCTAATGCTTTTACTGCCTATGAACAAGGCTTGGCTTAATTAATCCTATTATATTTGTCACCTTGAATAGCATTATACTAATTGACTAATCCTACCTTTAAGATCAGAATCAGAAGAACCTGATTTTGCTGAAGAACTCTTGTAAGCGCTTCAAGGAAGAAGAGTTCACAAATTAAAGGGTGCTAGCCATGCTTTCCTTAAATATCCGTTCTACCCCAAGACTCACGTTGTATATCACACTAAACCCCAGCCATTTTACTTTGTTCTGTGATGACTAAAGTAACATGAAAATTGAAGATCTGTCTCTCTGGGTTCACTCTGTGCTCCTGTTTGTTGTTATGCAGATGGGTCCAAGTGTGATGCCAGGGACTCGATGTGTGTGTCAGGGTCAGGATCAGGTCCATGGAGAATAACCAGCATCACAAACAGCCAGTGATCACCAGGAAGGACCCCCGTGGTAAGTCAGGGCTGAGGTCATGTCAGGAAATCAGTGCACAGGCCAGGGCCTGTGTCAGTGAGGTCCATGGCCACCCACAGGCGTGGCAGAACTCCAACAGACATTCCAACAACACAGGGCAGGGAGGGGGAAGTTCCAGGCCTGATTTTGTGTGGGCTTCAGGACCTATAGGCAGGGTCTGCAGGGTGGAGCTAATCAGAGTCGTTAAGGATCATTAGTGCACTCAGGGACCCGTTAGATTCTCAGCAGCAATGGAAACACAAGGAACAAGAACGGGATAATGCAAATTATTCATGGAATAATGCCCACAAGCCACAATTGTCATTTTGGGTAACGAGTTAAGTTTGGGAAACTTTGTATAAAGAGGAGGAGCCTCCTAGAAAAAACTATGATATTTTTCCTTTTTAACACTTCAAGGTTGCTACTTTTTCACTTATACTTACATTCCTTGTAACTTTAATATTACATCTGGAGAAGAATTGTAATAGAAGAACCAGAATATTTTTCCTACATCTAACCCTTTTTCTTTCCTTAATTCTTCAAGTCTCATCACGGTTTTTCTATTTTTGAATAACAGAAAGACACATCTTAACTTTTTACCATTGGAAATACATGGAAACTCTGTGAGTGCAAGAACTAGGAAAGCATACAGTGCTCTGATCACAAAGATGTTATCACACACAGCACTGAGGATTTTACCTGCTTTGGGTCACTGAACTTTGGCTTGAGTTAACCAGACAATTAAATAGCCAGTGGAACTGATTGGCCATGTGATATGATCTTTCATTTCATTTAAATGAATGCCATGGGTTGAATAAAGTTAAATATTTAGCATCCTGAGCACAACAGCAAAAAATGAAAAAATGCTCGGTATGTGTTTAAAAACATGATGACACATTTCTCAACAGCAAGTTCACATTGCACTGGCTATAGGGTACTTGTTGCTCTGTAATATAACACATAAATACTTTAGGCACACAGAGGGGTAGTGATGTTATTTTAATGTTTCAAATTAATGGAGTATACACAAATGTTAAGGTATATCAAAGAGAATTAAACTGTTTAAGAACTCACAGATCATTTTCCTGCCTTTTTTGCCGATAGGTGAGCAGGCCTTGAACTGACCTGAAGGCATGGTCTGTTTTACACTTTCCTCACACACAGATTCCACCTTACAACAGGGGAGATGACACCCCTTTCTGTGCTTCAGCTGCTTTTATAGTTTCTTTGTTCCTAAATGTTTGTAACATCTTGGAAACACCATTTCTGAAGAAGCTGGGGCCCTGCTACCCCGGGCCAGGGAGCTGCCCCTGTGGCTGCCCCTGTGCCAGACCCTCCAGCTCTGCAGTGCTGAGTTTCATTTCGGGTGTGCTCATTTCCAGCTCTTCTTCAGCATGTCAGAGTAACACAGTGATACACCTCCAAATGGCCTTGCCATTGCTTTTCTATGTGCCAAGGAAATCCCTTCTCATTTCCTGCATTTACAGGCAAAATTAAACACACAGAGTGTGGCATTGCTAAGCTTGGGAAGTGAAGTTTCGTACTTTCAGGCTAAGTGTGAACAAACATTTCACCTTATCTGCTTCAGCCAAATCCACTTCCTTTTCCTTCTGCTTCCTCCCATTTCCATGCACAAAGTGGCTCACCATCATTCCTGTTTAAGGAGGAGGATGGTGGTGTCTCTGATCTCTGCTGTGGGCTGGAACTGGGATGCAGAAACGTGCCTCAGGTCGGTATCTTTCAGTAAAGTGAACGAGCAAACAAAACCAAAAAAACAAAACTAAAAAACCTCACAGGAAACCCAGCTTGGTATGTCTGAACCAGAAGATAAAGACAAGCCTCTTAAACTAGCAACTTCCCATATTTTCATTAATATTATAGTGTATTCAATTCTTCAAAGAGCTGTATGTTAAAGGAACAGTAATTACTAAAAAATCCAGTGGCAGGGAGAACTTAAGGATTTCTCTTTCTATAACATCATGAGCTGCTTTGAACAATTATTTATCTCTAAAATCTATTGTGTAATTAATGGTTACATGACAGCAAATAAATAATACAGCATACAAATATTTTTTATTTAAGGAAGAAGGATTTTAACCTGTGTATGAACAGGCTCAGGAAACAGGAAATTGGGAATGGAGAGGACTCCATTCAATCCACAAGAAATTTGAGGGATGCTATAGTGAAAGTAAGGAAATACTTCTTGACTAAATTTAGAACTGGCCTAGGAAAATCCGGGCTGCAGGTGTTGATGGAAATGTTGCAGGAATTTTAAAACAGTTTAGTTTTATGACCAGTTATCCAAGCTAAGGCAATGATAGGAAGTAACCCTATCTTACTGCCCCAGGGTAGGAGCCAGGGTCAGGAGGGCACTCCTTTTAGTGCCACAATATTACCTGCATCTCAAAAGAAGAATTTTGCTGTTTCTTCTGAGTAGAATTCACATTCCTAGAAACTTCAGATGGTTAATATTCTGGACAAGGAGTTCAGTTTCGTATTTAATATAAAATATTCCTGTAGAAATTCTATCATGCCTCACAATGAAAGCCAAAGGTCAGAGTGGGTTCCAGGAGTGCCCTGGTGAGCTGAGAGAGGCTGTGCTGCTTGTGAGCCCTGGCTGGGCTCTCACTGCTCCTGCTTTAGGGAGGGAAAGAGGAGAGGAAGGGAGGTACCCAGGGCTGCACAACAAATGTCAGGCTAAGAGTTGGAAAAGTGCAATAATATATTACCATGGTTAAGTATAGATCTAACAAATTATCATCACACAATACAGGAGGGCAAAATCCTTCAAAATTTTATTGCTAATATACTTTTATGAGTTTTAATAGAATTGGTATAAATTCTATAGTAATTAATACCAGATAGGAAGCTATGTAGGTAGACTTCTTAAGGAAGGTAGACTTCTTAAACTAGAGTTTTTCAAATGGCTTCCTGGATTGACAATAAGGGAGAAGTAATAACAGAGAAATTTACATTAAAATAATACATTAAAGTTTAAAACATAAATTTTCTCAGATAGAATGACTAAAATGCTATATATGTAAAGTATATATTAAACATATAAACAATTGCCTTTACAGACCAAGTTTTCCACAACTTGATTAAAATGAAAGTTTTAGGTTTTGATTGCAAAAGTGTTTAAAGATGTTTTTTTAAAAAGCAAGGAATATACACCTACCCTGTAGATATTTGATGTCAACATGTCTCAGAGGTCAGACTGCAATTCAAGGTTATTACTTCTTACGTTTACAGGGAAGATCACACACAAATAGTTGCTTTATGTCCATCACATATAATCCCTCACTTTAGAAATGAGCCCAGAGGCTACTGTAAGATGTCTTAGAAGGCCACAGAACAAAAGGAGTGTTTTTTATTTTAGTTTCATAACAGAACCAAAAAATGATTTTAGTCTCAAACTAGCAGCAAATTGGAAATGCACCCTGAATCCTGGCGTTTTTCATTGATAATACAAGCTTTGATTTTTAAAAGTAATATATTTAAGACCCCTGTTGTATTATGCCTGATTTTTACATTCTGAAAGTAGAGTTTCTGGTATGCTGTGTCATGATTTGGAGTTTTAATATCAGACCTCTAAAATGATGTTTCAAATTGGTTGTATATTTTTGACTTAGATGGGATGAGCACAATAGTGTGGGACAGATTTTTTGTAGATTAGTTTAATTTGGGGCAGATTATATGTCAGAGAAGACAAAGAAGATGAAGCCTACATCACTTATTAATCCATCTAAAATGGATTTCCTTCTCAGTCTACAATATATTTGTCTCAGGTATTACCTTAGTTTCAGGTATCTATCATGGCCAGCTTTCTTCAGGAATTTAAACCCTGTCTCCAAGTGGGACTGCCTGTTATGAATCATTGCATTTAGGAAAAGCAATCCAGTGGGAAGCTGGTTTTGCTGAAGTATCATTCCTGCCTTCCCAGCTCTCCGTTTTCAGCTGAGCTGGGGGGATGCTGCAGATGACACCCAGGTTTTTCACTTGGCTTTCACTTTTATGTAACACAGCCATCTCAGAGCCTCTGGCATTTATTTCTTTTATAACCTACAATATTCACATATTCACTAGAATACAGAGAAAATGATACCTATTCCCAAAAGGTTTAGTGAGCTGATGAATCATCATCTAACCTTTTGCTCAATCAGCACAAGGAATCAGTCAGCACACAGTAACTGTGTCTGTGTGCACACATGTATGCATGCACATACACTGGTGTTTTAGGGAGAAATTTGTGTACAGAGAGTGTCATACTTTCCACAGGATAAATAAATTGTTTTACCAAAGTCATTCAAATAGGTCTGTTATAAAAGCAAGGGAAATCCCTAACTAAGCAAGGAGTTTGTTCCTGCATAATTGTTGCGTGCATTATTTCGTCTCATTGACTTTAATATGACCACTCCCAAGCTGAAAATCAAGTATGTGCTGAATGTTTAGATTTTTAAAGGAACCAGAATATAAAGATCTTCCCAAACAGAAAAATGGTCTCAGGGATTTTTTGCTTTTGGAAGAGTTTCCTAAAATGTATTTTACTTTGCCTGATGATATTTCTGATGTCTTCAACAGTTTCTTCGCAGATGTAGTCTATTGCCATGTGCATGTGTTCTTGAAATATGAGATGCATCTGCTCTCTAAAGATATTTAAAAATTGTAACTCCCAGAAGAAAATAATTTTGTATCTAAAGACTGAGGGGCCCAGCATGGTCACCTAGCCTGAGTACCCATATATATTGTGCACAAGTTCCTGTTGGCTAACAAAGTATCATGAAGTGCAGTTTTGTGCAGTAAGAGCAATAACAATCTGGACAAAGAACAGGTTGCAGAGCATGTGATGTGCTGCATATTCACACTCCAGCACGCCCTGTAGTAGCTTGTTTGTACATTTGTACCTACAGGCAGAAGAATCCTTGTTTCACCTTTTGCCTAAACTTCATTGAATAGAGGCAAACAGCCTCTATTATTAGATATTAGATACAGATACAGAT